GTTCTCATCATCATCTTCTTCTTCTCTTTCTTTATTATTATTATTATTATTATTATTATTATTATTGTTATTATTGTTATTGTCATTGTTGTTATTATTGTTATTATTATTATTATTGTTGTTGTTGTTGTTATTATTGTTGTTGTACTATATAATTTGTACAATTAACCTCCCTGTGGTTCAACCCCGGTCTTGCCGGGTTATTTATTACTTTGACACTCCTGCACTTGGGAGAAGACATCAATCTTTTCGTCGTGTCAAGTTTTTGGCGCCATTGCCGAGGAGGTAAGTTCTTGTATAAATTATAATATTTATTTTATTTTCTCTTTTCACTTTTCTTGTATATAACTTTGTTTCTTTTCTCTTGTTTCTTCTTCTTTTATTTTCTTCTTCCTTTTATTTTATTCCTACACGTGCATAAGAGTGTGGTCACGTACATCAAGTGGTAGACTTTGTAGGGTATCCTCATCATTTTCAGAAAATATGGCCGAAGAAGATAATCAATCACTTCATAATGAAAATAATGAGAATAACCGTGCTAGAACACTTAGAGATCATATGCATCCCACAAGAACAAGTGCACCATCATGCATAGTTTTTCCTCCTGATGCATCTCATTTTAATTTTAAACCAGGTATTATTCAACTTTTACCTTCTTTTCATGGTTTAGAATTGGAAAATCCATACTTGCATTTAAGGGAATTTGAAGAGGTTTGCAACACATATAATAATTTAAATTGTAGCATGAACACCATCATATTAAAGCTTTTCCCTTTTTTATTAAAAGATAAAGCTAAAACATGGCTACAAAATTTGAGACCAGGATCCATTCGTGCTTGGGATGAAATGCAACAACAATTTTTAAAGAAGTTTTTCCCATCTCATAGAACAAACTCTTTCAAAAGACAAATCACCACTTTCACTCAAAGACCAGGAGAAACATTTTATAAATGTTGGGATAGGTATCGAGACTTGCTTAGTACTTGCCCTCATCATGGTTTTGAAACATGGAGATTGGTTTCACATTTCTATGAAGGGTTAACACCTAAAGATAGGCAAATGGTTGAATTGATGTGCAATGGAACTTTTGAAGATAAAGACCCTGATGAAGCAATGGAGTACTTAGACTTGTTAGCTGAAAATGCTCAAAATTGGGACACTGCAGGTACATATGAGGCACCGAGTAAAACTCAACCTCATACATCTAGTGGAGGTATGTACAACCTTAGGGATGATCATGACCTTCAAGCCAAATTTGCATCTTTAGCTAGAAAAATCGAGGCACTAGAATTGAAAAAGAGTGGTCAATTAAAATCTGTTGAAAACATTGTGTGTCAAATCTGTGAAACAAATGAACACTTAACTAGTAATTGTCCAACCTTGCCTTCTTTTAAGGAATGTCTCTATGAACAAGCCCATGCTTTAAACAGTTTCCAAAGGGCGAACCACAACCCATACTCCCAAACATACAACCCTGGTTAGAGAAATCACCCAAATTTTAGTTGGAAGAGTGAGAACAACAATGCACAAACTTCACAACCACCATTTCAAGCACACCATAATTTTCAAAATTCTCATGGATATGCACCTCCTTATGCTCCACCTCCTAGAAGAAATCTTGAGGAAACATTGCATGCATTCATTGAAAAGCAAGAGACAATCAATACTCAACTTGCTCAAAACATGACAGATTTTAAAGATACTCTTGCTAAATTAACATCTGCTCTTAGTTTCCAAGAGAAAGGTAAGTTTCCATCTCAAACACAACAAAATCCCAAAGGGCAATACAATGCAAATGCAAGTAGTTCCGGAAGCCAACACATGGATCAAGTCAAATCAGTCACTACTCTGCGCAGCGGTAAGGTTATTGAAAAACCCTCTCTTGAACCTTATGAGAAAGATGATGAGTCAATCTCTGAGGGTAAGGAAGGGGTTGAATCTGAAAATTGCAAAGAAACGACTGATTCACCGCCAGCACTTCCATTTCCTCAAGCCATGACCAAACAAAGGAAAGTTAATCACAACTCTGAAATTTTTGAAATTTTCAAACAGGTAAGGATCAATATACCATTGTTGGATGCTATTAAACAGGTTCCTTCCTACGCTAAATTTTTGAAAGATCTATGCACTGTGAAGAGGAAACTGAATGTGAAAAAGAAAGCCTTTCTAGCCGAACAAGTAAGTGCTATTCTTCAGAACAATAATGCTTTGAAATATAAACACCCTGGTTGTCCCACAATTTCTTGCTTTATTGGAGAGCATAAAATTGAAAGAGCCTTACTTGATCTTGGAGCTAGTGTGAATTTACTTCCATATTCAGTTTTTCAAAGTCTCAATCTAGGTGAGTTAAAACCAACTTCTATATCTCTTTTACTTGCCGATAGATCTGTAAAAATGCCTAGAGGAATAATTGAAGATGTTTTAGTACAAGTCGATAAATTCATTTATCCTGTGGATTTTATTGTCTTGGACACAGAACCTGTTGAAGCATGTAATTCATTTCCTGTTATTTTAAGACGTCCGTTTCTTACAATCTCTAACGCATTGATTAATTGTAGGAATGGACTGATGAAGCTATCATTTGGAAACATGACATTGGAGATGAATATTTTCAACATTTGTAAGCAACCTGGAGATGATAATGATTTACAAGAAGTAGATCATATTGACGAATTAGTTTATGATCAACTTGAATCTACTTTAAGTAAAAATGAGTTGGATGAATCTGAAGATTTGCAAATGATTTATTCTAAGGAAGAAATCACGGATAACAAACGCACAGAAAATGTTGATGCGAATCTTTTGTCAATAGTGACAACAGATTCGACATCTAACATCGCACCAATCGATGATTACTTTCCTAACGAATCCTTACTTTCTCTTAGTCCAATGCCTTGGTATGATAAAAATATCAATTTTCTTGCTTTAGGAGATTTGCCAACTGATTGGAGTATTCAAGACAAAGAAAAGTTTTTGAACGAAGTGAAGAGCTTTTATTGTGATGACCCTAACTTGGATTTTATTGGCCCACCATGTTCAAGGACACACATGCACTGTTCGGTATTTTGGCTATATCTAGAAGTTCTCATCATCTTCTTCTTCTTCTCTTTCTTTTTTTTTTAATTATTATTAGTATTATTATTATTATTATTATTATTGTTATAGTTGTTATTGTTATTGTTATTATTGTTGTTATTGTTGTTTATAATTATTGTTTATAATTTATACAATTAACCTCCCTGTGGTTCGACCCCGGTCTTGCCGGGTTATTTATTACTTCGACACTCCTGCACTTGGGAGAAGACATCAACCTTTTAGTCGTGTCACATTCAAAGGGGATGGCTAGGGTGAGTGAACGGTTATTCTTGACAAACGATGCCTTAAGAGGATGGTTGGATTTAAGATTATGGCTAATTATAAGAATTAGTGCATCTATATGTACTACAAGTTGTGTATACCAAGAATATAAAGGAACTGCAAATGTCATGCTTCAAACATGAGATGATGTTAATGCTTCTTTAAACTACCAGACTGTTTTATTATTATTATTATTATTAAGTAATTGTATTCATCTAAATGTTTTATACTACAGTTGGGACGTCACACCAATAGTGCCTAGGAAACCCAATACATAGGAACCTACTTTTGCAAAGAATCATGTAGTTGCATTCTAAATCATGATGTATTTTGTATGAATCAATGTATTGAATGTATAATTATTATTAGATCCTTTTAGTTTAAATTCATGATGACTATTTGTAGGATAGAATACAAACTCATGTCCATACATGTATATTTTAAATGCAAACTTCTAATAATGCAAACATAATATTATGAGTTTAAGTAAGATTCACTTTTAAATGACATGTTGATTGTTGTTGATGCATGGATTGTATATTGATGATGTGAGGGAACATGCTGGTCGATTACCGACATGATGCTTGTTAAGTAACTTTTTTTTTTGGGCTTGAAAAGCCAAGTTGTTACATTCGAACTCGGTCTTGCCGGGTTATTCATTACTTCGATACTCCTACAATTAGGAGAAGACATCAATCTTTTGATTATGTCAATCCAGATGTAGATTTTAATATTTGTGGGGTGTAACATTACATGATAAAGTACACCCTCAAGTATTAAAGATACAAGGTGTAAAAATACGATGCTAAAATTCAGATTTTAGAAAATTTAGAATTTAACTTGATAAGGTAGAAACTTTCCTATGAAGCGAGATCTACCATGAACCTTAGAAAAGACCAATGAATTTAAACTTGACATAGAAAAATAATCAAATAATAATTCAGCTTACCTTAGGTAGGGTGCACTAGGAACGATGCATTTTCCCCTTGCACAACTAGTGCCTTACTCAGACTTTCGCAGACCATGAATTTCTAGTGACCATAATACTAGGTGACAACTCTTGAATATTAATTATAATTTTATGATTAAATTCAAAATCTATTTCCAATACACAACACCTCATACAAGAAGCACGACAAAAGCCTCTATCGTTGCTAGATGACATCGCGTTGGCTCGACCCTGTGACAATAACAATGCACATGGGCAAGTTTTTGGCCTTTAACTAATATAAGTTAAAGTGCTAATTAATAACTATGCATCTATTTTAGGAGTTATCAAAGGTTAGTGAAGGGATTCTTGATTCTTGCATTTGACATGTGACTAAAGATCCATATAGCAAGTGGCAAATTGAGAAATTTGTAGAGGATGCAGCTGGGCTGATATTGCACCCCTTGTGCTTGTAAACCTCCGTCTCTAAGGTGGCTCGTTGGTTCCATAAATACTCGGCTTAAGCTTCATTTTAACATTATTTCGTCCAATGTGATTTCACATTTCTGTTCGGTCTCAATCTTTCTAGGGATGTTGAACAGGTTTTCACCCTTCTTTTGTTTTCCCTTTCCCTTTATCTAAGGTTATCCAAGGTCTATTTCTGTTTGTACTTCACCATTCAATGCAGAACAACAACGCAACCTACTCTTCCTTTTCTTTTTTCTTGTTTCCTTCCTTTTCTTTTGCGTGGGTAACTGCTACTATTCAACTCTCAAGGCTGCTATTCGTGCTATCTACTGATTTGATTGCATGAAGGGACCAGTAATGGTATCATTGAAAACGAAACATCGAGATCTAAATTTCCATGAGAAAAAGTATCCCTCATGGCCCTTTAATCATCATGAAGTATAGATTCCATCCAAAAAGCAAGGACTCTCCTTTTACTTTTAATCTCTTGTTGCTGCTCTATGTTTATTCATCTCTTCTCAAACCCTCTAAACAAGATCTCGTAGTGCCAAAATAGCTATGGATGGTTTAGAGAGACAAATGGAAATACTCAGTATAAAAAATAAAGAGAAATGGATAAAGCATTACAGCAGTTCTCATAAAATACTACTGGTAGGAGAAGGTGATTTTTCTTTTGCTGCTTCCATGGGAAAAGCATTTGGTTCTGCTGTAAACATGGTAGCCACTTCTCTCTACCCCCAAGGTAATAAAGGTAATATTTACTAGCGTCTATATGATCTGTTATTTCTTGGATTTGCATTCTGATAAATCCTGTTACAAATAAACAAAAGAGACCATGATGCTGAAGTATTCAAAAGCTGCAACAAACTTAAGAGAGCTGGGGGATCTTGGATGTCTCGTAATGCATGAAGTAGATGCACATACTATGAGCAAGCATCCTCTACTGAATCAGAAATTGTTTGACAGGATAGTCTTTAATTTTCCTGCTACAGCTCTCAAAAGGAGTGAATCTAATATTCGCCAAATCGAGTAAGTTCAGATAAAAATCATTTGATGTTTTTTGTTCTCAAGGTGGCAGGATTTGAACTTGAGAGACCTCTCTCCTGTCTGCTGTATCATAGTATTTATTGTGAACCACTAGATTAAATTCAAGACTGGCAAGTATTCTTAGATTTAACTGTGTCAATAACATGTATTTTCTCTTCTTAGAAAACATCAAAGGTTGGTGAAGGGCTTCCTGGGGAGTGCTCATAACATGTTGGAAGTGAATGGAGAAATTCATGTGACCCATAAAACCACAGAGCCGTACAGTAAGTGGGAGATAGAGAGATTAGCAGAGGATGCTGGTCTGCGCTTGGTTGAGAAAGTTAGGTTCAAGAAAGCTGATTATCCAGGATTCAGTAATAAAAGAGGATCCGGGCCCAGAGCTGATCAGACCTTTTCAGCTGGAAACAGCTGTACCTTCAAATTTTCCAGGAATATTACTTGAGATAGGACCAAAACAGGCACTGAAACCCAAATTCATGCCCTGTCCCCTGCCTGGTGTTAATGACCAACTACATGATATTCTCCTATACATGTAATGATATGGCATCAACGAAATATTTTGTTTCTATCTAGCATGCTGAATACTTGAATACTCCACGGCAGGGTGGTCTTTGATGTTAGACTTGGTAACCCTAAATTCTATTGTCTTTGGAATCGTTGCAAGTCCCAGGTACAGGGTATATACCAAGCTACCGACTGAAACCAGAACCCCAGAACAGAACCTAACTATTGTAATCAAAGCTGAACAACTGGGGACGGTCAGAAAGTCTTTCAAGACTTCTATGTCAAGCTTCATACAAATGAATAGGCTGATTTACTTGGTAATTAAATTTCAACCTTTTCTGATTGCTGAGTAGTAGACCCATTGACAATGATACAAACAACATCATGAACATCCTCTGTTGTCGGGTAGCTCTCGTTTAATGTTGATTCATGAGCAAGGTTTTTCTGAGCTATACCGTGGAAGGCTTGGAATATGCAAAGCATGCTTGGATATACATTCATGAAAGAGGGTCAGGGACATTATGGTCATAGCATATATGCATGGATGATTTGCAACATCATATGCTCTTTCGCGGGGTTGCTTCTAAGTATTTCAAACCTTGTAGTTATCAAACATTTGGTCCATTTCTAGCGTGCTGGATAATGGACATGATCCATAAAGTTGTTAGAGACGTAAACGTTTTAATGTTTTAAATGTCTGGAGTTTAAGACGTTTTTAAGACACTTTAAAGTTGGAGACATTTTAAAGACATGGGCTGTTACTTTGCAATTCAATTATTTGTAATGGTTTTGTAACCCAATTCCTTTTCATTCAATAATGTAACAGATAAAATTTTGTGAACTTCAAAGATCTTTGCTTTAGAGTCTATTTGTTCCTAGAATTTGGTATCAGAGCTCTTAATTGGGCCTGATTGTGATGTGAGTGTTAGAGGGAAGAGAGAAACAACAGAGTGAAAGAGTGAGACATGGCTGCAGAATTAGGAAGTTTCATTCAGCCAGCCATTCCCAAGTTTGATGGTCATTATGACCATTGGTCAATGTTTATGGATAATTTCCTCCACTCGAAGGAATTTTAGAGTCTCATTGAAGAAGGAATTCTAGTACCAGAAGATGATGGCTTGGGGCTAACAGCAACTCAGAGGATGACGATGGAGGATCGAAAGCTAAGGGACTTAAAAGTCAAGAACTACCTATTTCAGGCCATCAATCGAAACATTTTGGAGTCAATCCTCGTCAAAGACACAGCGAAACAAATTTGGGATTCCATGAAACTGAAGTAGTGGGGGTCAACTTGAGTAAAGCGAGCTCAATTGCAAGCGCTAAGGAGAACTTTTAAAGTCTTGCAGATGAAGGAATGGGAAGGGGTAGATGAGTATGTTGCTCAACCCTTACGATTGCTAATAAGATGAAGCTACATGGTGAAAAAATGGATCAAGTGGGTTATCATTGAGAAGATTTTGAGATCTATGACCTCAAAGTTTGATTATGTTGTACGTTCAGTGGAAGAATCCAACAATTTGGACACTTTAACATTTGATGAACTGCAGAGCAGCCTGTTAGTTCATCAACAAAGAATGAAGAGGCATGGACAAAGCAGTGAAGAGCAAGCATTGAAGGTTACCAACGAGGATAGAGCTGGTGGTAGAGGAAGAGGACGTGAAAAGTTCAGAGGTAGAGGAAGAGGCCGAGGGAGGCAGGAGTTCAACAAAGCATTGGTTGGGTGCTACAAATGCCACAAGCTAGGGCATTTTCAATATGAATGACCTAGCTAGGAGAAGTCTACAAACTATGCAGAGGCAGATAAAGAAGAGGAGGTTCTCTTGATGGCTCATGTTGAACCCAACGATGTAAAGAGGGAAGGAGTCTGGTTTCTTGATTCAGGCTGCTCAAACCACATGTCAGGAAACAAACAGTGGTTTGTGGACTTTGATGAGCGATTCTGGTATTCAGTGAAGCTAGGGAACAATTCAAGGATGCCAATAATGAGAAGGGGAAACATCAAGATAGAGATTGGAGGAATAATTCAAGTAGTGGCCAATGTGTTTTATGTTCCGGAGCTTACAAATAATTTGCTGATTGTTAGTCAGTTACAAGAGAAAGGGCTAGCCATTCTGATTCAAGATGGAGCATGTAGAATTTATCATCCCAGCAGAGGTCTTATAGCACATGCTTAAATGACAGCGAACAGGATGTTCGTCTTGCTCGCCAATACAAAAATACAAAGCTTAAACTATCTTCAAGTCGCAACTGAAGATACCACTATCTTTGGCATCGAAGGTATGGTCATTTGAACATGAAGAGACTTGGAACCTTGCATTACAAGCAACTTGTGAATGGGCTGCCAAAACTCAAAACTGTGAAAAGAGGGTGTACTGTCTGCAACATCGTGAAACTATACCAATGAAAAGTCAGTGAAGGGCTTTGCAAATGCAGTCTATTTAAGCATATTTAAAGTGTTAATATCTTTTTTTTATATAATTAGTCTTTATATCTGATTTTTAAAATCAACTAATTAGGGTTTCTAATTATCAAAATATTAAGTAATGATTCTCATTTTATTTTTCCACTGATAAAAAATAAAAAATCCTTGTCTCCCTATATTTGCCCAATTAGATACAATACAATTGAGGGTAGAGGATGATCATCACAACGCTGCATACGTGTGACAGAATAACAACTCCACTAAAGACCTTGTGGACTAAGTTTTGTTTTTGTCTGATCATTGTGTTTTATTGTTTGATTTGCGTGTTTATTTTTAATATGCATTTCCTTTATTTATTTCTTATGCGCTTTAATTTATGTACATATTTGCTCATTTATTGTATAGAATTGTCTCATGCATCACATATCTTAAATTTATGGGAAGCACACACAAACTTATAAGATAGGTAGCGGATTAACAATTTGTCCTATGACTATTAGTTAGGATTCAGATGCATGAAACACCCAACTCATATCTGAGTGCCTGTTTAATAATGGTGGGCATACGTGCCTTAATTGTTTCTCGCAATGCTCCTATACTGTCTTTACAAAGACCATCACCGGGCAAATATGAGACCTTTTTTTAAACTAGATAGTCAATCTACACTTTGTATCACATAAAAAAACTAGAACTTGCATTTAGGGTGTATGCTCCCGACATTTTGTTTTGCATCAAAGCAAGCTTTTCTCAAAGCATCTTGAAATCAAGACTTGTGGGTGACACAATAGTCGTCGCTCGAGAAATTTTCATTGTAGAGTTTGAGCAAAAACCAAAATTCTTGTTTTATCACACAAGAGCCATATTTTCTGACAATGATGAGGATACCCTACAAAGTCTACCACTTGATGTACGTGACCACACTCTCATGCACATGTAGGAATAAACTAAAAAAAGAAGAAGAAAGCAAAAGAAGGAGGAAGAAAACAAAAATAAAAAGAAATAAAAGAAAAGAAACAAAGTTATATACAAGAAAAGTGAAAAGAGAAAATAAAATAAATATTATAATTTATACAAAACTTACCTCCCCGACAACGGCGCCAAAAACTTGACACGACTAAAAGGTTGATGTCTTCTCCCAAGTGCAGGAGTGTCGAAGTAATAAATAACCCGACAAGACCGGGGTCGAACCACAAGGAGGTTAATTGTACAAATTATAAATAACAATAATACAACAACAAGAACAATAACAATAACAACAATAATAATAATAACAATAATAATAACAACAACAACAACAACAACAACAACAACAACAACAATAATTGTTGTAGTAGTAGTAGTAATAAAAAAAGAAGGAGAAGAAGAAGAAGAAGATGAGAACTTTGAGAAGGAATATTTATGTAACGATTAAACAATGATAATAACAAATGTCAAGGTTAGAGATTCCACTAATGGTATGTCAAACAAGTATAGTATAAACTCTTATTATTCAATTAGAAACCACACACAAAGGAGGTTCCAATCTAATTATAGATTGTTAACATGATTACATCAGTCATCTTATTCGATTAATGCTAATACTTGTAAATCTCGTCAAGCATTCATGATTATAACTTATGTTAACAACAAATCAAGTTCCTTTCATAGCTTAGGTGTCGGTTATACCATACAATATGAACTATGAAAGTGCCAAGCATTTGTTGTACCAAGTGTTATACAACATAAATCAAGATTAGCTATTTAACAAGCAAAGTATTAAAGAGTGAACAAGATAACAAATATAAAAGATGTTAGTATCAAACATTAAAGTCCATATTAAGTTTACACTATACTTATTCTTACACCATTAGTATAACTTTTTCACCTTAACATAACAAACTTAGCTAGACATAATGAAAGAAAGAAAAACAAATAAACAAAATAAGAACATAAATAAGATAAGAGTTAACAAAGCAAAGCAAAGGAATTGAAAGGCATAAACTTGATATTAAGGAAAGGAAAGCATAAATATTACAAAAAATACAAAGAGAGAAAGGAAGAGCATGATCTTGATCTGGAAACCAAGATGCCTAAATGCATGGCAAATACCTCCTTTTATAGGCCAAAATTGAGAATTATTGATTTGATGACTAATTGATAAGTGGGTGGCCAACTCTTGACTTGGTGACAATCCTTATCTTCTCTTGTCTGCCCAAAACGTCATTGATAACGTCATCATTGGAGCCAGTGGAACATGAAAGTTGTAGGCAATTGTCTCAACTTTCTTGTGTAAAAAATGTAGCTCATTTGGACTTCTAGAACTCTAGATATAGCCAAAATACTGAATAGTGCTCGGGCTAGAGGACAAATTCGGCTTCTTTGTTATTGCTACAATGTGGACTTGAAAATGGCCTTTTTAGATCTTGGGCTCCATATAAAAGTTATAGGTCTATGTCTTACCTTTCCATCCATATAAAGTGAACCTAAATCTGAGATCTATACCTCTAGATATGACCCAATTACCGAACCATGTTCTGGTTTGGATTGCACCAACATCTCTTTTCTAAGTTTGGTCATCTCTTTGCCCTTGCAATTTAAGTTCTTAAAGTCATTAATCAATCCTTTCATTTATGTGATAGACCTGCATTTAAAATGAATATTTACCATAAATTAAAGGTATTAAGTATTATTGGATATATTATTATAAAACATGTTTTAGTTGAGTTATTGATACTTCAAGTGCAAAATGATGATATAAAACCATGATAAAAATGCACTTTTAAGTACTAATTAGACAATTTCCTACAACTTTCATGTTTTCAAGTGGCTCCAATTTTGACATTACAATGACGTTTTGGCCAGACAAGAGAAGATAAGGATTGTCACCAAGTCAAGAGTTGGCTACCCACTCATGAATTAGTCATC